ATGTTGTTGCAGGCGATGGAGATGTCGGTGACGAACATACAGTGATTTCTACTGCGTCAGTAGTTAACGGAGTTACGCGCTGGAAATTCAATCCCTCAAATTCTTGGTCAATCCAACATCTGACAGACTTTCCTTGAACATTCTAATTACCAAATCACACCGCTCTTCATGAATGGCATGATTTCAGCTACTGTACAGTCAACCAAATGCAGTACTAAGGTTTCGATACCATCGGTATTTTGGATGTGACGGATTTGGGGTAATCGGGCGTGGCAATCATATCGGATCGCGTTGTTATATTTCTGTTTATACTTGCTGTACGCTCTCCATAACTCCACAAAAACAGGATGATTTCAGCAACGCCTCTATCTAGCACTGCCAGGATTACGACCTCAGGCATCTCCACATTTTCTCTTTCCACTTCTTTTATCGCATATCATTCATCATTAATTCCATCTGTGCTTTCTGGGAAGATTGGATCTGGAATTTGTTCCATCAGAGTCCTGCGCTCTTCATACGACAATGTTGACCACGTTTTCGTAGATTTTGACATTGTTTCCCCTCTACCAACCACCGGTTGGTCTTGGCTGCATCTCCGTGACAATGAAGTGCAAATGTTTTAGCGAGTGGTGATCTGCGTTTGCTACTAATGCCCAGAAAGCTTCCTGGCACAGCAGTTGTATACCAGCTATTTCACGGTGAGCAATTTAATAATGTTAGCGTTAGTAGAATGAAAGTGGTGTTTGTCTTTATCATAACTTACACTGGTAAGATGCTTGGTAGCTCAAACAAAAGATGCGTCAAAGGGCTTGAAGCTCCGTCAAAAGACGAGTACTTGGAATGGCTTGCCAATCCGGCGGAGGGGACAAATGCAACACACTGCGGCCAGTCTTTTAGATGATCACTCGTTTGAATTGGGTACGCTATATGTAACGGGGTTACACGCAAGTGGCTACATGTAACCACTTGGTTACGAAGGGTTTCCACATTGATGTGCGATACATCAACGGTTACATTTGGTAGACGACTAGTCTGCATGCATTTAGACTTCCCATTGGTAGAATGGCAACATCTTTCTACCAATTACAGCAGTAGGATTCTGCCAACCACTCGTTGGCAAATACTTTTCATATACAATAGCACTTTTAGGAGGAAATCCAAACAAAGACACAAATCGTAAATAACAGTTCTCATTTTACCGTAAATCGGCTTTGTTTTACTTATTCAAGTAAATCTATACTTTCGGACGAAAGTATATTTAATCTAAGTAAACCGCTTAACGCTTCCTCATACACACGCGCACACGTGAAAGCCGAAGTAGTGGGCACACGCTAGGGCCATTACAATGACTATGGAGAAGATTATTGACGATGCAATTAAGGAAATTATTAGTTTTATTTAGGATCTATTGTGTGGAACCTCTAGAGATGGGTGTGGTACCATTCACGAACGACAGCATCAGGAGAGCGCTAGGGCGGTCGGCGATGGTGCAGGCGCTGCTGCACGAAGGCATTTATCGAGGGCAGAAAGTGATCGTGCGTAAAGATGGGTTAGTGTATCGTAGACACGTGGTTGGTGATAAGATTATCTTACCTATTCTACTGGTCTCTTCTCTTTAAAGAAGCCGCAATAGAATTGGGATTAGCCGCTAATGAGGGCCACCCACTTATGAGAGTCTGAATCAAATGTATTGGAGGCCGTTCATGCAGGATATCGTCAACCAATGGGTGGCGGTATGACAAGATTGTAGATCTCGGAAAGCGAGACTCAAGGCCGGTGTGCCTCCTTTACCAGGTGTGCGTACTGGAAGAATTGGAGATCAGCGGGCAGTTCATTCCACATGGCTATCACTAGTTACTATGCATGACAATCGATATGTGATTGAAGGCATCGAGTATACATCCCGATATTGTGGTGGGATGTTCCTCGCAAATACTCGTTTGCGGGGTTGGTACTTGACACACCGGTGCCTGGGGACTGTCGACGAACGGAGGGGGTACTCCGACAGTCGTGGGGTTGTTGAGAGGCTCACCTGTGTAAGCAGTACCTCCGGCGACTGACACACGTCTTTATAGGTTATACTTGATTTCAGTATGTCCCTCTACAATCTCCCGCTATCGA